CCACCTGAAATCAGATGAGCTTTAGAGCGAGGTCTGTGTAACTAGATCAATCGAGGTACACATACTTAAGTTATAAAACACATCCTACTCTAGATGTTCTGCATCCGCTCACATTTCCTCCAGACAAATTTGGAACAAACTTCTGGCGCAAAATAACCAGGTTCAAGTGTCCAAAAATTTAAAAAAATCATATCAGAACACGCATCTAAACCCAAAGCAAGAATTGTGGAAAAAATCGATGGTAGCACAGGCTGTTATAAGCATTGCGATCCAATTTCGATTCCGTTTAAATCCGATTCAGTTGGCTCAAATCCGTGGCACATGCTAACCAGGTAGGAGTGTCCAATAACCAATTCCAACCAGTACACGGATCCAGCCTCGAAGCTGCATCTGTGGAACACAACCGAATTTGGTACATACTTTCATAAGTATTGTGACCCATCTCGCCATACCTTATATATATCCGATTCCATTTTCATCCGAATCAATTGGCTCAAATCCGTGGCACATGCTAACCAGGAAGCAGTGTCCACTTTCTCAACCAATTCCATACCAGTACACGGATCCAGCCTCGAAGCTGCATCTGTGGAACACAACTTAATTTGGTACATACTTTTATAAGTATTGTGACCCATCTCGTCTTACTTTGTACACATGCGATTCCATATTCTTCCGGTTCAATTGGCTCAACTCCGTGGCACATGCTAACCAGGTAGCAGTGTCAACTTTCTCAACCAATTCCAAACCAGTACACGGATCCAGCCTCGAAGCTGCACCTGTGGAACACAACCGAATTTGGTACAAACTTTTATAAGTATTGTGACCCATCTCGCCATGATTTCTTTATATCCGATTCCGTTTTCATCCGACTCAATTGGCTCAACTCCGTGGAACATGCTAACGAGGTAGCAGTGCTCATTTCCTCAACCACTTCCATACCAGTACACGGATCCAGCCTCGAAGCTGCATCTGTGAAACACAACTCAATTTGGTACATAATTCTATAAGTATTGTGACCCATGTCGCCTTAATTTCTTTATATCCGATTCTATTTTCATCCAACTCAATTGGCTCATCTCGGTGGCGCATACTAACCAGGTAGCAGTGTTCACTTTCTCAACCATTTCCATAGCAGTACACGGATCCAGCCTCCAAGCTGCATCTGTGGAACACAACCCAATTTGGTACATAGTTTTATAAGTATTGTGACCCGTCTCGCCTTAATTTCTTTATATCCCATTCCATTTTCGTCCGACTCAATTGGCTCAACTCCGCGGCCACATGCGATATATCCGATTCCATTTTCATCCGACTCAATTGGCTCAACTCCGTGGCACATGCTAATAATTTGTTTATATCCGATTCCGATTTCATCCGACTCAATTGGCTCAATTCCGTGGCACATACCAACCAGGTAGCAGTCCACTTCCTCAACCAATTCCATACCAGTACACGGATCCAGCCTCGAAGCTGCATCTGTATCCGTTTTCATCCGACTCAATTGGCTCAACTCCGTGGCACATGCTAACCAGGTAGCAATGATCTTTTTCATCCGACTCAATTGGCTGAACCCCGCGGCACTTTCCAAAAGCGTAGCAGTGTCAAGTTTCTTTATATCCGACTCAATTGGGTCAACTCCGTGGCGCATGCTGACCAGGTAGCAGTGTCCAGCTCAACCAATTCCATACCAGTACACGGATCCAGCCTCGAAGCTGCATCTGTGGAACACAACCCAATTCGGTACATACTTTCATAAGTATTGTGACCCATCTCGCCTTACTTTCTTTATATGCGATTCCATTTTCATCCGACTCAATTGGCTCAAGTACGTGGCACATGCTAACCAGGTTGTAGTGTCCACCAACTCAACCATTTCCATACCAGTACACGGATCCTGCATCGAAGCTGCCTTTGTGGAACACAACTTAATTTGGTACATACTTTTAAAAGTTTGGTGACCCATCTCGCTTTAATGTCTTTA